GAGGCCATGGCTGTCCCCCACGCAGGTCAGTGACGGCCCGTCACAGTGGTTCAGATTGTGTAGTTTCTGCATTGGAGTGTTGCTCTTTTAAGACTTCTCAAAGCATGCTCCATACCATGTCTCTCTCAAATTTGGAATGGCACTTCAGAGTCTTAAGCCTTGAGTCGAGTATTGCAGCTATTTTTAGAAATCTCACATTGGTACTTTCTTCGCATTTTGTCAAATCTGCTGTAAAAGTGTTCTGAAAATGAGCATGGGCTGGGTCATTATCTGTGACTGCTATAACATGAAATATATGGCAGATGAATGCAAGTAAAACAGAACAGGAGGCATACAGTTCTCCAAGAAGTTCAGTCACAAATTTAATAAATGCATTATTTTTTTTAATGAGCATCATCAATATGGAAGCACGTCCTCTGGAATGGTGGCAGAAGCATGAAGGGACATATGACTGTTTAGCATATCTGGCACAGCTACAATGCTAGCTACAAAAGTGCCATGTTCATCTATTCTCACTTTTAGGTGACACTGTAAATAAGAAGCAGGCAGTATTATCACTTTCTATATATAAAAAAGTTTTTCTTGCCGGGTGACAGAATGATATCATTATGCTCAGCATGCTCTCTGGTTGCAAAAGCTGCCAGAGAGAGGGGGATAGGCAAGTGTAGTGAGTACGGGGCGGAACCCACAAGTCTCCCACAAATGTAAACATACTTATTTGTCTTAGTCCTTCTTGTTCAGCCAATCACTAAGTGGGTTTGTAGGCTCTAAAGTTTTGGGTTTGAGCGCAGTTATGTAACTAAAAAAAGGCTACATTTATAAGTTACGTTTTCATGATAGATTGCATACAGTACTTGTATGAGGTGAATTGAAAAATATTTTTGATCATTTTTACAGTGCAAATATTTGTAATTAAGAATAATATAAAGTGAACACTGCACTTTGTATTCTGTGCGTAACAGAAATCAATATATTTAAAAATATAGAAAAACATCCACAAATATTTAATACATTTCAATTGGTATTCTGTTGTTTAACAGTGCAATTAATTGTGATTTTTTTTTACTTATTTGTGTGAGTTCATGCCATTAATCAACAGGCCTAGTACATTTATTTGCTTACAAGAGGCGCTGGCCCATTGGGAGCACAGTTCTCTTGTCTTCACAACTTCCATTCCAGCTTCAAGTTGTACAGTGGATGCATTCATCAATTTGGAAAAATGCTTGTATGAAGAGACATCTAATGAAATACTTTCTGAAGTCAGTAAGAGTGAGACTCAGCCCTAAGGGGAAGTTACAAAGATGGTCAGGCCCCACCCATTTGAGGTTTTGTAATTTAAGAGTAGCACTCTGAATCAGATTCATACTTTAGAGGGCAGGGGTGGGGAACCTTTTTTGGATCGGGGGCCACTGAATCACAGAAAAATCAGTCGGACCTTGCACACAAGTGTGGCCCCTGACTGAGAGGAAGAAAGACACTCCCCACACATCAGAGTCTAGGTAGGGCTCAGGATAGTAGATTTTGTGTACTCTAGCCCTGCAGTGGGGCGGTTGGAGCACCAGCACAGGCTCCCCAATGTTGGGGGGGTCCTGAGCCTCGGAGGCCAGAACCAGGCAAGCTGGGGGCCACATCTGGCTCCAGGCCTGAGGTTCCTCACCCCTGTTATAGGGCATATTTACCGAGGTAGTATGCTGTCATTACTATTCTTGACTCAGCAGGCAGCCAGTGTGTGCTGCTTATTCTTAGATAGGATATAATTCATTAGTCTGTAGGTGAGGAGGGTGCAATCAGGATCACATTCAGCAGTGAATGGTGCAGCCTTCTGGACAGCTGGAGCTGGAAGAAAAGACTGGTCACTGCTGCTGACTGGGAACATTAGACCTTTAGGACCTGCTCCTGTACCCATTTGAAGTGATCAGCAAAATTCTTATTGATTGAAATAGGATTGAGGAACAGTTTGTGGTCTCAGGTGATGCATGTTGAGCTGTTAAAACACACACAGCAGCACTAGGGTTGCAGTCAAATAGTTAATTAAGCAAACTAGGCTGCTAGTATTTATGACAGCTTTGCCTTCCATTTTTCAGTGTATCCAACCCTGACTGAAGTCCTACGACAGAAGTGGGATGAAGCAGAGCAGTCTCTTTACGATGAGTTAATAACTGAACAGGTTTGCTGATACATTCTGATTTTTGGTAAAGAACTATCACTTAAACTACTGTAGTATGAGCCTATTTTCTGCAGATCCATCTCTTCTTAAGATAGATGCTTTTATCCTTTTATTGGCAAATAACTATTAGTGCTCTGCATCTAGCTACAGTTTCCTAGAATCCTAGGGCTGGAAGAGACCTCAGGAGGTCATCGAGTCCAGCCCCCTGCCCAAAGCAGAACCAACCCCAAATAAATCATCCAAGCCAGTGCTTTGTCAGGCCAGGACTTTAAAAGTTTACTGGTAATCACAAAACCTTGTAAAATAAATAGCCAGTACTAATTACAAACAGAGATAGAATGACTTTACATAATGTTTTTATTTTTCCAGGGATACAAAAAGCTATTGAAGAAGATTTTTGAGGAAGCTGGACTTTTAAGAGCAACAGAGGAAATGGAGATGGAAAAACAAAATAAAAAGTTAAAAAGTCTGGAATTTGAAACAGTGGAGAAATGCAATAAGGTACAGAAAGTAATTCTGGTTGCTTGATTCTAATACGTTTTATCATGATGGAGATAATCACCATCCTTTTGCTTTGTGATTGAGCCCACTTGGCTCTCCATCAAGCTGTCTTTCTGTTAGAATTCATATAAAGTCAGTTCCCTTGAATAAGAGTACATTTAAAATAAATAGAAATGGCAGCACTTAATTTAATGCTGAAAGTTGGAAACACACTGGCAGTACTGAATGCCTCTTCAGAAGTTGTTGGGGCTGTGTCACGAGTAGGGCTGCCCCTCAGGCTTACAGCCTATTCATCATCGGGGCTAGCCGCCCGTGCACCTTTCCCTCATCCGGGCTCCCCGTACCTCAGTCCCGCTTTATGGATAAGTTCGCAGTGTACTTAGTCTGAACCTCGTCGAGGTGGTGCCTCATGTTGTGAGATAGGAGGGGGACTCGGGCCCACCCTCACTCCGAGTCCCGACCCAGGACCCTTAAAGGCGACGGCACCCTATTGCTGCCTGGTTGGTGGGGCATTCCCCGAAACTCACCAACCCCTGGGGAGGGTTTGTTCCCCGTCCTGGGTCACTTCCTCCTGGTCCTCCGTGTCCGTTCCAGCTCCCAAGCTGCCTTGCCCTGGTCCTCCCGGCGTTCTCCCCAGGGCTCGCCTCTCTCTCTCTCTCCTTTCCTGTTCCAGGCGTCTTTTGAAAGACCCGCTCCTCCTGACCCTGCCCCCTTCTCGGGGCGCGGGGTGATGACGTCAGCTGTGGGGAAGCCCCGTCTGAGACGTCCCGGCCCCCGGCTGCCCCGGTACATCCTGGGCATGCACGCCAAGGCGCAGCCCGTACCTGGCACTGTGCCCCGAGCCTGGCTCCTTCCGCTGCCGCGGCTGGGGCAGCCTCCTCCCCGGAGAGTGCAGGGTGCTGCGCGCTTCTCTGCGGAGGAGCCCGGCGCCCCGTCACAGGCTGGTATAGGGGAAGTAGTTTGGATAACTAAGTATTGTGCACCTTAGACATACTCTCATAAAGTGGGGTGACAATAGGTTTAAGAAGCAGAAGGGAGTTAGGCCAGGTCTACACTAGCAGAGAATATTGATGCAAGCTGCATCGATTTTCCATGGCAGCCCCATGGTGAGAGATCGACTGTGTGTGTGTGTGTGCTCAGTCATGTGTGTTGTGTTGACTTGCACAAGTAGTCAACACAGCAGACTCTGAGAGAGCCCCCAAAGACCACAAAATCAGGTAAGGATCGAAGGCACCCAGCCAGGTTTATTGTCAAAGTACAGTAATAGTTGTCAGACTCTACCTAACCAATATGCATATGTACCCCATGACAACGGATGCGGCTCAGTCAGTGACATGGGAATCCATCATTGCTCCATGGCCAGACACAGACTGCCCCTATAAAACACCACTTTATATACAGGTACAAACAAGTTACACATCACTCCTGAAGTTAAGTTGCCACCATCTAATGTTACTTAGATACCACCTATCACCCAGCACCTTGTGCTCTGATTAGAACACCTCTGTCTGTCATGCAGTCATTTTAGACCCATGGTGTCCAACCAGTTCTGAAGCAGCACTGTAGCAGGAGCCACTATAGTGACTACTACAGTGAACTAGCCACACTCAACTGGCCAAATACCCACATGTGGCTAGTGGCTAGCATGTTGGACACCATGGTAATGTAGACCCTTTCCTGAACCTGGGTCGGTATCTGTGGGGAGTATGCATTCCAAGGTCCTTTTTAATGAGCTGGGGTTACTGTCCTTTTGGAATGTGCTTTCAACTTATGACCAGTACCAATTATTATTTTACAGCTAGTACCTAGAACCAATTACTATTCTACACCTGGACCTATTACCAATTAGTATGTTACACTATCCACCCTCTTCATGCCAAGTTTTATGAGCAGGGATCTGCCTCTTGCTCATAGCTTAGCTTTGCTTTATATTAGCAGAGTTCTTCAAGTGATTGCTCATGTGCATTCCAATTAGATGTGCGCGCGCAGCGTGCACGCGTCGTCGAAAGTTTTTCCCTCAGCAGTACCTTTAGGGCCAGCGGGGAGCCTCCTGGAGGGGCGCCAGTATATCAACCCATATATACCCCTGTAGGCCCCCTCACTCACTCAGTTCCTTCTTACCACCGTGACGGTTGTTGGAACAACCCTCAGCTCGTCTAGCGATAGTTGTCTTCAGTAGTGTTCTCTGTTTCTTCAGTTAGCTTAAAGTACCTGCAGTTAAATTTAAGACTCTTTTGCTGTTTTCGTTGCTGTTCCCCGCTGCGGTGTGCTGTGTGCCCACGGCAAGGGCATGCCCGGCCCTCAAGGCTTTAAGTCCTGCAAAAAGTGCAACAAGCGTATGCCCCGGGGTGACGCTCATACCTCATGTTTAAAGTGCTTGGGAGAGACACACCTCACTGAAGCCTTCATCGTGAACGAAACACGCGAGAGAATCACGTCTTAAGATCATCCTTATGGGGGCGGCTCTCCAGCCAGTACCGGTGCTGGAGTCGGCACTGGGTCCTCAAAGCGCACTGGCGTCTGTGCGGGACTCCCCCCTGCACCATGCCTCACTGGCACCACAGAGATCTTGACACCGGTCTCACTCTCTGGCACTGCAGAAGAGGAGGAGGCCTAACAGGGGACAGTCCCCTGCTAGGCACGCGCCCTCTGTGCACCCTGCAGTGGGCCATGAGACGCCGGCAAGTCCAGAGCTCGGACCTTCCTCCCAGCATAGGGAACCAAGCCCCTTGGAGGACTTTCCTGAACCCTCCACACTGAAGCCCTTAGAAGCGGCAAGGGTGCTCATAAAGACTTCCCCCTTGCCGCCCCCTGCTCCAAGCCTTCCAGGCAACACGGGACGTCCCAGCACTGGCTGTTGAAACAGCCCGAGAACACGGCACCAGAGGCCTGGGCCCACTGCCCTCCCCTCCCAGTTCCACCAGCACCACCCATGGCACCGACCAACAGCACATCCCTACCTACGGTGCCCCGTCAGGACGCGGTACCGGATACACCGCGGTACCATACCCCGGCACCGGTTCACACCGTTCCAGCACCTACCTCTGCACCGGATGTCCACACCACTGTGCCGCTGCCGCTTCGGCATCGTGGGAAACGAGAATCTATGGCCAGGCATGTAGCTGCTCAGCAGGTGTCTGCTTTGGCTCCTCTATGGTCCGCCTCGGAGTACATGTCTGACTCCGAGGCGGAATCCACCTGGTCTTCTCTGGGCTCCTGGTCCCAGTCGCAGCACCGCTCCTGTTCGTGGTTCTGCTCCCAGCTCCATAGTCTACCTCGTCCATACCAGAAGCAATGGACACAACCAGTCCTGGTACCGGTGCTCCAGCAATCATGGCCTCTTCAACCTCTGGCCCAGTACCATTTTGGACTCTTTAGGCATATCACCAAGCCCAGGGAAATCTCCTTCTAGGTCGGCTTCGGTCGAATCGGGTCTTTGGGCCCCTCCTTCGGTGAACCCACTGGTCAGATTGCCAACCTCTGGCCAGTCACTGCCTCCTGGCCAGCAGTCTCCTGCTTCTTCGGGGAGTGTGGCTCCAGTGAGCCAACCTCTCCCACCCTCATCTGCTGGCATGCAGCAGGATCCGGCACTTTTGGGGGTATCTGTCAGAGAAGTCCGAAAGGGATCATCATCCTCCTCCCCGACAAGGCTCTGGGAGACCCTGGACCATCCCTGGCCTCTATGGACTCCAGGGCCCACCAGGACCTCCTTCAACGTCTGGCCCAAAGTTTGGGAGTCCAGACGGATAGGGTGTCCGATGACTCCGATCCTACAGTGGACATCCTTCACGTGGATACTCCCTCTAGAGTGGCCCTCCCGATTAACAAAATGGTGGCCAAGATCTCCAAAGCCTTGTGGCAGACTCCCGCGTCTATCCCCCCACGGATAAGCGGGCCAAACAGAGATACTTTATCCCAAAGGAGGGTAATGAAAATCATTTTTTCCACTCTCCACCGGGCTCTCTTGTGATACAAGCTGTGAATCAAAGAGAGACACAAGGTCAGCCCGCTGTTGTCCCTAAGAATAGGGAGGCTAAGAAAACTGACCTGCTAGGCCGGAAGGTCTACGTGTCCAGTGGTATCCAGTACCGCATTGCAAATCAACAGGTCCTCTTGTTGCGGTATACGTTTAACACCTGGGCCTCGATGGACAAATTCATAGACATACTTCCCAGAGAGTCCCATGCAGAATTCAGAGCTCTCCACAAGGAGGGGAGAACGGTTTCCAGGGTGGCTCTCTAGGTGGCTCTCAACGTGGCGGACGCTGCTGCCCGAGTAATGGCCTCCGGGGTGGTCTTACGCTGCAGTTACTGGCTACAGGGTTCTGCGGTTCCCCTAGAGTTCCAGAACACCATTCAAGACCTCCTTTTTGAAGGTTCCTCGCTCTTTTCTGAGCAAACTGATCAGAGGCTCCATGGCCAGAAAGACACCCGTGCTACCTTAAATTAATCATTGGGCATGTACACCCCGGCTACCCTGAGGTGCCCCTTCCCTATTAGGAATGTTCCTAGAGCACCTCTCCAGGGTCTGCATACCAACTTCTCCCGCCGTAGGAGTAGAAGTGGTAACAGCAGGAACAGGCGTCTCCCTCATCCGACCCCTGATCACAACCAGGGGCCTCCCAACAAACCCTCCAGTTGCCATCAGGGGTTTTGATGGGCTCTACAGGGGCAACCTTCCAGTCTCCCCATTTCTCTTCCGGGACCGTTTATCCCATTTTACCCGAGCCTGCCGGTCAGTCACTTCGGACCACTAGGTGCTCGAGATAGTGGAAAGGGGTTATGTAATCCCTTTCCACTCCCCTCTCTTCCCCCTTCCCAACTCCCTACCCCATCCCTTTTCAGGGACCCCTCTCATGAGCCTCTGTTTCAATAGGAGATCCAACATGTCCTTACGATAGGGGCAGTAGAATGCATTCCCCCTGAGTTTTGAGGGAGGGGGTTCTATTCCCGCTACTTTCTGGTCCTGAAAGCCAAAGGGGGCCTTCGTCCCATCCTGAA